CCTATTTAAAGGAATTTCCTCAAATGTGTCTTGTTATAGGATTTTAGGGCCAAAGGGGATCTTTGAGGTCAGCTAATACAATTTCTGACTTTTAAGGATGAGAAAGCTGAGGTCCAGAGAAACTAATAAGGTTGCCCAGGCCCTAAACTATTTGACACTTTGAAAGTGTCTCTAACTAAGTAGCAAGAGGGCAGCTAGAGAAGCACACCCATTTGGGAACCATGAGGAAGTAACTAGGGAATTGTGTGTTCAGGACAAGCATCCAGATAAGAATTACTGCAAAGTTGCTGACAGCCACGTATGAGTGACCAGCATCCAGCAAGAAATCACCACTGGGATCAGGAGAGTGAATCATCCCAGGCTTTGTTCTCTGTAGGACAACACATTTTTCTTTGGCTCTCTCTGTTCTATATCAAGGGATTGTTTCCACCGGGGTCACCAGGCTGAAGGACCCATTAAATTTGGCCTCATTCCTGTCTTGGCAAGCTGCCACAGTCAGCGTGATGGAAGAGTGTTTACACATGTCCTTTCCCAGGAACATATTCTCTAGTCTGTCTGATAAAGCCCAGAGTCAGATGGGCAGAGTGGTAAAAAGAGCATTGGACAAAGAGTTAGCTAGTGGGGTACTGGTCTCTTTCCATCATGAACCCTGCTGTGTGAACTTGAGCCAGTCATTTAAGGTGTTTTAAGGATGCAAAACAAAGGGTTAGATGGGACACCTCCTTCTCTTGTGTTTTAGGAACCAGTTCTGGGATGAAAGTGGCTTCTAGCCTGAGGTTGTTCTCTCAAGCAGAGTGAGAAAGAAGTGCAAGGTGTAGCCACGATTGGTAAAGAAGCAAAGCCAGATATCAAGGGGGGAGGGGGGAGGTCAGTGTGGACATCACTACTCCACCAGAGAGCAAGTAGATTCATCCTTGGAGCAAACCATAGTGCTGCCTGGAACACTATGCTGGGAAGGCTCTGAGTGAAGCCTGAGCTCTGGGAAGAGAGTGCTCTGGTCCATTAATATTGTCTGCCACAGGCAAGAAGGAGACATAGAACAGGGTGAGAGGATATGATAAAATCTCTTCAGAAAGAAAATTTCAGAAAGCTGGCTCCTGTGATAAGAACAGATACGAGCACAAGGAATCAGGAAGCCTGGGTCTGTTCTCCAGTCTGTCACTAAATAATTCATAGTTTTGGAAGAAATCAGTAACAGGTTGGGATCCCTATGTACTGGCTCTGTTGTGATCTGAGGCATGATAAGAAAGGCTGCTACAGGGTCTTTGGAAGTGGGGGTGAAATAAGGACCAGGCCTGAAGGTCCAGCCACAGGAAGTGTTTGGCCCAGTTTTGTCTCATCTTAATTAATGTGGTAATTGTACAGAAATTTATAAAAATAAGGTGAATTATATATTTTTCCACTGTGATATATTTAAAAGGGCAGTAAATAAGAAACCAAAAGAAAATTAACTAGATTCCAACATCTTGTATTTTCTTGGTATGAAGAGAATTTGATGTAAATGACTTTTTTAATAAGTAGATTTACTTTTTTTTTGCTTATGTTTAGGAAAATAAACAATAATCTATGAGAATGGAATATATTAAAATTTATGAATGAATAATTATTTAATAAAATTAATTGGTAATAATAACTTAATAATTATTATCATTATTATTACTGAATGACTAAACAGTGACAGTGACAGTCTTTTTTTAAAAATGTATTCTATTGATTTTTACAGAGAGGAAGGGAGAGGGATAGAGAGTTAGAAACATCGATCAGCTGCCTCCTGCACACTCCCTACTGGGTATGTAACCACAACCAAGGTACACGCCCTTGACTGGAATCGAACCTGGGACCCTTGAGTCCGCAGGCCAACACTCTATCCACTGAGCCAAACCAGTCAGGGCTACAGTGACAGTATTTATGCCATCATCACTTGTAAGTAAACCTGAGACAAACTAGGGCCCTTTTTGAAATTACATGCAAAAGTGAAAAAGGACTAGAAAGTACCATATAAAAATAATAAACTATTATTTGATTTGATGTTGCAAAGTTATTCTTATTCAATAAAATAAAATGAAAGTAATGTGGAAATGGGAAGAGAAGTTCTAGGGTTGTTTTCCAAGGCAGGCACAGCAGTGTAAGACATACACTGCCCTGGTTCAACCTACTGACTCTGAACTCAGACTGACTGAAATCCTGGCTCCCTCAAATAATGAGAACAATAGATCTACTGACCCTGCCCCAAAACAAAGGCGTGTGAGCCTAGCAGGTAGCAGCTAGACATTTGCTGAGTGGCCTCAGACTCAGCATTGGAACCAAGTCACTGAAATTGTATCAACCTGGTGAACACCACTTGCCCATACCTAGTGACTCACTGAGAACTTACCTCATGCAACTCAAATACCACTTTTTCAGTGACTGAACCTAATAGGAAACTGGAAGTCGGAGGCAGATCTCAGTGCATTGAGACTTTGCTGACCTGCCCCCAAGCTAGATGCATCAAAGCTGGTCTTGGTGTGCATCTTGATCCTTTCTACATTCACCCAGGCAGCCACGAATTGTGGATCACTTCTAGCTCCAAACATGTCACCCAGGACCAGTAATAGGCAGCATCTTATATTGGCATTCATCAGAGTCCATCCCAAGAGGCCCAGAACCAACACACCCAGTGGCTGGCTTCAGATAATATCAGAGCAGGATCCAATAAGCTTCACAAGCAACATATCTAAAGGGAGATTTCAGCAAGCAGACCCTGCTAAGGCAAATTACACTCTGTGTGGTCAGCACTTGCACAGCAACTTGCACACTGGTTGGGGTTAAGCCTCACAGTCAGTCAGCCTGAGGGTTAATCCCATGCATAAACTGTCCAATAGCAATTAAGGTAATTACAACAGGAGGGCCCATATAACTCACACAAGGGAAGTTCCTGGAACATCCAGCTCAGGAGATCAAAAAGAATGCACCACTAGACCTCACAGGACACATACTACATAAGGCCACCCCACCAAGATTGGGAGTCATGGTAGATCATCTAATATATAGAAACAAACACAAAGATGCAGCCCAAATGGGAAGACAAAGAAACAGGCCCCAAATGAAAGAACAGAAGAAATCTCCAGAAAAAGAGCTAAATGAAAAGGAGGCAAGTAATTTATCAGAGATGGAGTTCAAAGCAATGGTTATAACAATGCTCTCAACAGTGTGAAAAAGGATATAGAAACCATAAAAAAGAACCAGTCAGAAATGAAGAATACAATATCTGAAATGAAGAATACACTGGAAGGAATAAACAGTAGGCTGGTGAATCAGATGATCAAATCAGTGATTTTGAAGACAAGGTAGAAAAAAACACCCAATCAAAGCAGCAAAAGGAAAAAAAGAATTTTAAAGAATAAGGGAGCCAACCAAAATGGCGGCATAGGTAAACACCTGAACTTGCTGCCTCGTACAACCACATCAAAACTACAACTAAAAGACAAAACAGATATCATCCATAACCACGGGAAGGCTGACTGAGTGGAAGTTATACAACGAGAAGGAATGAGAAAAGCGTACTGAGACTGGGAGGAGGTATGGAGGTGCAGAAGTATGGAGGTACAGAGGTGTGTGCGGAAACAGGCTGGCAACTGGGTTTGCTGTTCTCTTTTTCAATCAGGAGGGAGATATAAGCTCCCTACTGCTCTGAAATCCAGTTCTGGGTGAGACTCTGGGGATCCAGACTCACACAGGAAGAAACTGGACAGTCTTGCATCGGGCTAGAACATGAGGGCGGCTTTCTCTCAGAAGTGCTGCAGCGATCATTGTTCCTGCACGGTGTGGGGAAACACAGAGACCTGGGGACCTCCTCGGGGCAGGGCTGATGGGCAGCCATTCCTGTTTGCTCCACCCTGGTGATTCCCTGAGATCCTGCCCCACCCAATTTACAACCCCACCCAAGCTGTGCGCAGAGGTTTTTGCATATGAATGGTCTGGCCTTTTGCAATCTAAAACCTAACAAACTGTAGCTGGGTCAGAGAGCCCCAGAACTTCCAAAAGAAGGCCCAAGGCTCAACAGCAGCCTGCATTGCTTCACAGCTGGGCCTCATCTGGGCACCTCCAAACTCCAAACAAAGAGGAGGAATCTGTAGGTCTCTCTGTAGCTCCTGCTGGGTGGCCTCAGGCAGTGGCTGACTTTGCACCTCCTTGGAGATCCAAGAGCCAGTGTACCTAATGGTCAGAGTGAGAGCATACCAGATTACAACTCTTCACATCCATAAGAGACACACTCAGGGTGCAGACTCAGTGAGTGCCAAAGCCCCAATGAAGCAAGTCCTGCCCCATAAGGGTGTCTCCAGGACAGTAGTTCTCCCATTGTAGACACAACTGGTCCTCACAGTTGATTGGCCTGGAGGTCAATTCCTCCCAGTGATACCAACAGCAATCAAGGCTTAACTATAACAAGATTGTGCACACAGCCCACAAAGGAGTGCACCAAGAGTGTTCACCTCAGGTAATTAGGGAGGCTGAGCCACTGGGCCCTTTAGGACACCTAGCACACAAAGCCACTCTATCAACACAGGGAAGCAGTCAAATGTAGAGACAAAGAAATATGTCACAAATGAAAGAAATGGAGTAAAGAAAACTACTGGATATAGAGTTCAAAACCATGATTATAAGGTTACTCAAGAATCTTCTAGAACCTCCGAGAAATTTAGTGAGACCCTCAAGGATATGAAAAAGGACCAACTAGAAATTAAGAATACACTGACTGAAAAAAGAATAATATACAGAGATCCAACAGCAGACTAGAGGATCCCAAGAATCAAGTCAAAGATCTGAAATACGAAGAAGCAAAAAACACACAACCAGAAAAGCAAAAAGAAAAAAGAATCCAAAAATACAAAGATAGTGTAAGGAGCCTCTGGGAAAACTTCAAGTGTACCAACATCCAAATTATAGGGATGCCAGAAGAAGAGAGAGAGCAAGATATTGAAAGCCTATTTGAAGAAATAATGACAGAAAACTTCCCTTACCTGGTGAAAGAAATAGACTTACAAGTCTAGGAAGCGCAGAGATCCCCAAACAAAAGGAATCCAAAGAGGAGCACACCAAGACACATCATAATTAAAATGCCAAGGGCAAAAGACAAAGAAAGAATATTAAAAGCAGCAAGAGAAAAAGTTATCTACAAGGGAGTACCCATATGACTATCAGCTGATTTCTCAATAGAAACTATGCAGGCCAGAAGGGAGTGGCGAGAAATATTCAAAGTGATGAATACCAAGAATCTACAACCAAGATTACTCTGCCCAGCAAAGCTATCATTTAGAATTGAAGGTCAGATAAAGAGCTTCACAGATAAGAAAAAGCTAAAGGAGTTCATCACCACCAAACCAGTATTATATGAAATGCTGAATGGTATTCTTTAAGAAGAAGATAGAAGAAGAAGAAGAAGAAGAAGAAGAAGAAGAAGAAGAAGAAGAAGAAGAAGAAGAAGAAGAAAGAAGGAGAAGAAGAAGAAGAAAAAGGTAAAGATAAAAATTATGAACAACAAAGTGAAAACAAATATTTATCTATCAACAAGTGAATCTAAAAATCAAGTGAATAAAAAATCTGATGAACAGAATAAACTGGTGAGTATAATAGAATCAAGGGCATAGAAAGGAAGTGGATGGGCAATTCTCTGGGGGAAGGGGGTGTTCGAGGTGTGGGAAGAGACTGGACAAAAATCGTACACCTATGGAGGAGGACAGTGGGGGAGGGAGGAGTAAGGGCATGTGGTGGGGTGGGAACTGGGTGGAGGGGGAGTTATGGGGGAAAAAAGAGAAACAACTGTAATAATCTGAACAATAAAGATTTATTTTTTTTAAAAAAGAATGAGGGTAGTTTAAGGGACCTTTGTGACAACATGAAGCATAACATCTGCATCATAGGGGTACCAGGACAAGAAAAGAGAGAACAAGGAATTGAGAACCTATTTGAAGAAATAATGACTAAAAACTTCCGTAACTTGGGGCAGAAAAGAAGACATACAAGTCCAGGAATCCCAGAGAGTTTCAAACAAGATGTACCCAAAGAGGCTCATATCAAGACACTATATAATGAAAATAGGAAAGGTTAAAGACAAAGAGAGAATCTTAAAAGCAGTAAGAAAAAAACAGTTAGCTACCTACAAGAAAGCACCATAAGACTGTCTGCTTATTTCTCAACAGAAACATTTCAGGCTAGAAGAGACTGGCATGAAATATTCAAAGCAAAGAAAAGCAAGGTCCTACAATCAAAACTATTTTACCCAGCAAGGTTACCATTTAAAATTGAGGGAGAAATAAAGAGCTTCGCAGATAAGAAAAATCTAAAGGAGTTTGTTATTACCAAACCAGTATTACAAGAAATGTGAAAGGGCCTTCTAAAAGGAGGAGGAGGAGGAGGAGGAGGAGAAGAAGTAGCAGTGGAGGAGGAGGAGGAAGAAGAAGTAGAAACTGAGGAACATAGTTAAAAGAATAAAATGGCAATAAACATGTACCTACCAATCACTTTGAAGGTAAATGGCTTAAATGTTCCAATTAAGAGACATAGGGTAGCTGAATGAATAAGAAAAAAAAGACCCACTCGGGTGATGGGGGCTTGCCTGGTGTTGGAATGGCTGGGGGGAGGGAGGAATCAATTAGGGAAAAAGGAGACATATGTAAAACTTTAGACAATAAATAAAGAACCATATATATGCTGTCTATATGAGACCCATTCAGAACAAAATATACACAGACTAAAAGGGATGAAAAATATATTTCATGCAAATTAAACTGAAAAATAACCTGGGGTAGCACTACTCATATCTGACAAAATAGACTTTAAAATAAAGGGTATAGTAGAGACAAAGAAGGACACTACATAATGATAAAGGGAGCAATCCAACAAGAGGATATAACCCTTATAAACACTTATACACCCAGCGTAAGAGCTCCTAAATTTATAAAGCATATCTCGATGAACATAAAGGGAGAGATGGACAATAATGTAATCATATTATAAAATTTTAACACCTTATTGACATCAATGGGTAGATCTTCCAGAAGGACAATCAACAAGAAAACAATGGCCTTAAATGACACACTAGATCAGATTAATTTACAGAGCATTTCACCTCAAAGTAGTGGTATATACATTCTTTTGAAGTGCACATGGAACGTTTTCTAGGAAGAGCACATGATAGGACACAAATCAAGTCTCAATAAACAAAACTGAAATCATATCAAGCATCTTCTCTGACCATAATGATATGAAACTAGAAACCAATCACAAGAACAAAACTGAAAACACACAAAGACATGAAGGCTAAATAACATGTTACTTAAAAATAAATGGGTTAACAATGAGATCAAGAAAGAAATCAAAAGATATCTTGAAACAAATGAAAATGAGAACAAAACAACCCAAACTCTATGGTAAATAATGAAAGCAGTCCTAAGAGAAAAATTTATACAGGCCTACCTCAAGCAACAAAAAAGAAAATAATAAAAATCACAGCATAAATAAATAAAATAGAGTCTAAAAAACAATACAGAAGACCAGTGAAATCAAGAGCTGGTTCTTTGAAAAATTAAACAAGGGGAAAAAACGAAAATGGAGGCCAAATAGGCAGACATGTCCTGCGCCTTTTCCCAGAGCAGGTAGAAGAAACAACACCTGGAACTGATGAATTAGACAAAGCAGGTGAGGCAATCTGCAGCTAGAAAGGGCAGAGGACACCTGGAGAATGGTAGGATAGGGAATCTGGGCTGGAGAGAGAGACACTTGACCACTGGGACAAGAGGGTCAGAAAGAACCTGTATGGCACCAAGTCCTCATCCCTTGGGGACAGGCATAGCATCCAACTGTGGGCCACCGCAGGGCTGATGGCAGCCAGGGAATCTAGACTTAAGTTCACAGCCACAAGAGGCTGCATCCAGAAAGGCAGCCTGAAGGGCTGCCCAAGCCACGTGCGCTGGGGGGAGAGAAACTCGCAGTTGTGTGATTGTTTTGCCTTTGTTTTGTCTTTTCTTTTATTCACTAAACCCAGTTCATAGGACCTTTCAATTACAAACATTCACCAAGGCTGTTGTTCAGGTGGAGGTTCAGATTTGTGGAGGCTGGGAAGAGGCTGTGGAGGAAAGCAGCACAGGGAGATGTGACCAGGAATCTGACACTGAGACATTCCAGACCCTCCAAACCTAAGCAGCCATTTGTTTCCTGAAGAGTCAGCCCCTCACAGCAGCCTCAGGGTTTGCAGAGAAAACAAACGCTCTGAATAGCCCAAGGGAGCCCTCCAGGACTGGGTTGAGGAGGGCTATTAGGTCCCAGAAAACAATGCAGCACCACCCTCACCTAAAGTTCTTTCAGAAACAGATTCTTGAGTGATTAAGATTGAGAGCAGGTAGGCAGGCAAAGCAGACAGATTGGTCCCTCCTGCATGCAGCCAAGGCTGTGGAGAGACACAGAGGAGCCAAGGATTGCTTGGAACTTCAACACAGTGCTAACTACCTAACAGAAAACTGAGAAGTGGCACACAGAACAGAAGAGTGGGGTCTTAAACCAGCCTCCATGGGGCATTAAAACTCGGCTGAAGCAAATGACACTTCACTTTTATATTTTTTTCTTTTATTTAAAAAATTAAAAAAAAATCTGTTTTTTTTTAAATTTTTTGTATTATTTTTTCATCATTCTATTTTTATTTTTTATTTTATCTTAGTTTTCTTTTTTCCCACCCTTTTCTTCCTCACTTCTCCCCTTTTTATCCTGTTTTCTCTTCTCCTGTCCCCACTTTAGTTTTTCTATTTTCTTTCTTTTTACCCCTTGTTAAAAATTGATCTTCTTTATCTGCTTTATAGATGTGTTATTATTATTGTAGTTTCTGTTGGTTTACTAATATATCTAATTTCCTCTCCCATGCTCCAAGTCCATGCACCCTTCTCTTTTCTCTTTCTTTGCTAGACAATTTTTTAAATGCTTTTGTTTTTCCTCTCCTCACACTCTCTTCTTATCCTAATTGTTTAATTACTTTCAATCGCTAGACTCAAGCCTATCTGCTCTTCTCTACTCTCCTTTTCTAAAAATAGATGAATATATAAATAAATTAAAATTTTTTTGTTTTTTGATAAAAAAATCAAATTATTTATTGATTATTTTCTTTTTTTCTTTTCTTCCTTTCCATTCATGCTCTTTATACCTCCTCTATACTGAACCATGCTCCTTCCCATATTCATTCAATTCCTTCACCTTACTTTCTGTATATAGCTCTGCCTCTACAGATTCTGACCCTCCCTTTTTCTGGGTGTTTTTTCACTTGCATTTATTGGTTTATTTGTGTGGTTTTTTTTTGTCGTGTTTTCTTCCAATATATATTTTCTTCTTCTTTTTCTTTCCTCTCTTATGTATTTTTCCTTTTCTAGATATCATTTTTGCTCTCTTTTCTCTCTCCTAATTCTCTTTTCTCTGGTGGTCACTTTTATTGGGGCTATCAGTGTTGTGAGTACATTTGTGTTGTGTTCCCTTGTGTCATGTCTTGTTGAGTTGTATTTTGTGCTGTTCGGTCAGTGTGGTAGAGAGCGAGCCACATAACCAAGCACCCTCAGAGTACACTCCATCAACGAATGGGACAATAACACTCAAGACCCAAACATCCCAAGTAGAGTGCATGCCTAAAATAAGCCATCCCAGAAGATGTGAGAGATCACACCACTGGGTACCACAAAACATCTACTATATAAGAGAAACTCAAAAAAAATCTGGGTGACATAGAAGTTTGATCTAATACATGGAAACAATCACAAGGGAACACAAAAATGGGGAGACAAAGAAACAGCCCCTGTGCAAAAAAATGGAGGAATCTCCAGAAAAGGGAATAAAATAAATGGAGGCAAACAATTTGTCAGAGAAAGAATTAAGAGCAATGGTTATAAGGATGCTGAAAAGGATAGAAGAAAAATTCAAAAACAAGTGTAAGAATCAAGAGGAAATGAAGATGAATCAAGAGAAAATGAAGAATGACATAGCTGCAATAAAGAACATAATGGGAAGTTTCAAGAGTAGACTCAAAGAAGCTGAGGAC